TCACTGTTTAAAAAATCACTGCATCAATATCAATTTTCACTTTAATTTGTTTACCGTTCACTCGCGCATTACATGTAAAACGTTTGACATTTCATAAATTAAGCTGACAAGTGTCATCCCCGCGCGCGGAATACGTCAAATCGCATACAGCCACCAACGCGACTGAAGTGTATCACGGGCGACCGATACCATACCGCGTCTTTCGAAAATTGCGCCATCTCAGTAAGCACACTCGGGCAAATTTAACAACACAAAAACACCTTGAGCACACCTCATGCCCTACTAGCTTTCATAAACTTCCAAAACCTATCACTAGATAATGTTTACATCGCGAAATGCCGACACCCGAACGACCGGAAGTCAAAGCGAAGCAAACGCGACAACTATGTAAAATATTGCAGGATCGCGATCGCATTGTTGACATTCCCGAATAAAAATCACCAAAATCTCGAGTAAATTGTATGAAAATCACTGTAATAATTTTTTTACTCACCTATTTCGAGCTTCAAAGATGTAGTGAAGGGGCGAATTTTGATAAAATGTCAATTTAAGAGTGAATTTAAAGAATATACTCTTATTGGTATGCGAAGAATGGCACAAAGAATCCCGACAACGCACGCGACGAATGCGCACCTCGTTTGCGCATATGCTGACACAACTTCATGGATGTTACCCCTCTTGCCCCGCGCGCGCCCGGTTTTATATGCCTGTGTGCGTGTCTAGAGTGGTCAAACGTGAAATTTTGTGCATGTATACACGCACACATACAAAGTTATATACCTGCGTAGCTCCCGTTGGCCGCCATCTTTGTTACGACAGAAAGCGAGCGTTCTTTTATTTTGATCTGTCAACACTCTTAGCGCCATCCAGTGGGAAGATTACCAAGTTATAACTCGTCCCTAGATGTCACCCTATTTAGTTATTGTCTTTAAAAAATTACATCAATACACATTCTCTTTGTCTTTGTTTTATTTTGTTTTTGATAGATAACTATTAATTCTATTTGATATTATTATCATAAATATAAAACTCTAATAATGATAAATATGATGATAATCAAAATTGAATTATCTCTTTATTTCGTTACATTATTTATATTTATAACAACACTAGTACACTCAGTTTCTCAAAACTACAACGAGTAACGACCAAATATAAGAAAATTGCAATTTTCCAGTCTCTACTTTTAACGGAACAGGAGGGATAAGCATTTTCTAAATAAGAATGTAACTATAACTATCAAATTTAACTTGCTCTAATTCAATATGTTCAAATACAAGCATTAGACCATATTACCATATTGATGTAATTTAGGTTGAAATATTTTTTAAATCACCACTATCCTTTTTTTCTAAAATTTATTCTTACGAGTATAATAGTCGTCAGAAAAGCAAAGTTACAGATTAGAATCTTTAAATACTTATTATGTTAATTAGTATGTACAGGTAAGAATTTATTTTCAAATTAAATGATTAGGACAATAATCTTTTCAAAATACCTTCTAAAAAGGACTATAAAAGGAGAAATATTTATATTAAAACAGAAAATAATGTACAGCAATCATTTATTTCGTCAACAAACTTTAATAATATATGTAGGTAGGTACTCAATATTCTTAAAATTATGTAATGAATATAATAATAATTCTTAAATTATATTTAATAAGATTGTATGTGAAAAGCTTAAATTATATATATTAATATAATACAAGAATAAAAGTAATAAAACTTAAATTACGTAGTCGTTTATAAAGGTAAGGTACTCTAAAAAAACTTTGGTAAGTAAGGTACTGAAAAGTTTCATTCGATATGTTTGATTTAGATAAAAAAGTCAAGAATTTTATAAATTATTTTACAATAGGTACTTATTATTAACTAAGTGAATACAATATAATAAAAAAACATTTTCACTGATAACATGTCGGTATGTAGGTAAATAGGTAGGTAGGTCTATGAAAATTGAAAACTACAATATATGAACAAATTTTAAATACATACCTATAATTACATACTATACAATATAATAATAATTGTTAAATTTTTATAAACTTTAATACTTAAGTCTTTATGATACATAATTGTATTTATTAATAAAAATTAAATAACCATAATATTATTTTTAAATACGTTATGAATCGATCAATTCGTGCTGTGTAAAAATATAAATAACAAAGTATTTTTAAACATTATCGTTAAGCACTTCACTATTGAACAACTCCAAAAGGATCTCATCAAAAGTGACAAAATCCACATAGAAACCAATAAATATTTATTTGTTTTGGCTTTTGTCGCTTTTGATGAAATAGGTACTATTGGAGTTTTTCAAAAGGTTTAATACTTTTTAAAATACTTATCTTATTTCTATAAACTTGTACTCTATTTATTTTATCCAAGCTGTCTAATCCCAAGAACTAGCACAATAAAGCAATCAAATATGTAAATATAACCAAATATCTGAATCAGAATTTTTTTTTTGTGATGTAGAGTCAAATTCAGTGTAGTCACTGCGTGTAGCGTCTGTACCGTCGCGAAATTGATTTTTATATAGAGCCATCATATTCTCAACTCAATTTCTTATTTAAGTATATTTTAATGATGCCTTAATGTGTAAACGGTTTTGTTTCTAAGATTTTTTGCACTTTTGATAACTTTGAATACACGACAGTTCCCTTGTACACAAACTCTCCCTATATATTCTTATCTCAGATACACCAAGTAGAAATAAAAATCATTCCAAAATAATTTAATTACACCTTACTCCATAACGACATATTATGAAACTTCTGAGCTCTGACTATTAAATATGATCTACATTTATTGACCACTCCATCTAGTATCCATATACATATGTACTACGTAATAACTTCATGTTGTAGGTAGGTACCTATTTCTTTTGAGTTGCTTACGGAATGAAAATAATTAAATATACTATGATTCACTGCTGGAAAACATTGTTGTTTAAATAGATTTTTACAAGAGTAGAATTCAATTATTATGTAAGACAAGTAAAGTTATGATCGATAATATTGAAATAAGTAGCAGTTATGATCAATAATATTACAATATTTTCATCATAAATCGAATTGACAGTGTTAATTTTTTTATACCGATGTATGTTTCGAATTAAATTGTACCGATTTTTTCTGTGTTATGTAAATGCTTATAAAAATATACATACGTATATTGAAGTATCCATAGACCATAGAGGTTAAAATTATTAGAACTTTTAGTGTAAGTGAAGTAGTTCCACGATTCAAATGGCACGACATTATAGATACAAGCTGAGAAAACCGCTGACTTTAGTACCGATGGGAAATAGTAGAATAGAGAGATATCGATTTTCATGACCATCAGTCGCTTAAACTTTTTTTTAAAAACATCTTATATTATAGTTATCTAATCTTATAATAAATAAGAATATTATAAGTATCATCTAGAAATTTCTTTCGAAACCCAAGATAGAAAAATACTGATATCAATCTCAATATTTTTACATAAGTAATATAGTTATTTGTATATAATATTATATAATGAGTACTTTTTTCAATATTTTGAATAAAACCAACATTTGAATATGTGCGTGTTAGTTTCTGAATTTCGATTCTATGAAGCAATAAAATATACATACTTAGGTAGGTTAGTAGGTACCTACTTGAAATTGTAATTGTAGATAACTATAAATTATTTTTATTTGTAAAATAATAATTCATTAATTATGCTATTTAGCTTGACTGCCAACAAATTGCGGTCTACACTAGCGTACCTATAATGCTAAAATTATCTACAATTTCATATTTCGAGCAATGTTCAATGACCGTTAAATAATAAATATAATATTTAACACAAAAAAAAGTAATTTCGTCTTATATCAATTATATAATACTAACACGTTTAATATTATTTTTTGAAAGCTTTAGAGCTTAAAAAAACTTATTTAATTTAAAATCTTACGATGCACACTGATAACTGCTGGGTAGTTGATTTTCATTTCTTTAATATTTGTTATACTATTAGACTCTCTACATAAATCATATTGTATCGTTAGTGATTTCAAGTACTTATAGGTAAAAATATTCATAAAAGCCGTCAGCCGTATGTATCTGTTTGACACTGCCCAATACAGACAGACAGACAGACGACCCTAAGAACTTAAAATATTACTATAAAGTGCATACGACAAATAAATTAAAAATATGTTACATTTTTTTGGGAGCTTTGGTGATCTTCGTGTCTTTCGTGACCTTTTTGTATGATATTTTGATCTAAATTATAGTAGGTACCTTTTTTAAAATATCCCGAAAATTGTAAAGATTAAAAGGCAACTGCTTTGACTTTTTACAGAGTAGGTTACCACAGTTGTGCATTTAGTATAATCATTAGTTCATTAATCCTTTAGGACTCCATGAAACAAATGCTAATCGAGCTACTACGTAGGTTAATTTATATTTAATTTAGAATATACTATGTTATGTATAATTTTAAAGTCAAAAGTGCCTAGTATTATATATTATGGTACTTTATTTCATTTCGTAAAACAAAAGCCAATAATTGACTCTTATAATACCTAACTTTTTAAAGTTTTTATATTATATTCATATCAATCGTAGAACAAAGCAACACTAAAATCTCATGATTTCACACCGACTAAGTACCTATTTATGATTAAAAAAGTGATTTTACTGTACCGATTCATGGCATACGTCGTGGTTGTGATGGTGAATAGGAGATCTTTTAACATTTATATCTTTTATTAAGAATATACCTTAGTATACTTTTGAGATGGTCCCATATATATAATGATTGTATTAGTTAGTAAAAGATATGTCTCCCGACCCCTTAATTAGTCAGTTCAGAAATTACACTTAATGTTGCTATTTTGGTAGACTTAGTAAGTAGTAGCACGTTAGTGTTTTGTTTTACGAGTGATACGAATTTATTATCACTTAAGTAAGGTAATTATGGTATATTCTATTACAACTAAGTAGGTAACAACTATACTTAGTTGGTCTTTTGATGGCTGGGGCATACTACCTGCAATTCGTGTATGGGAAGGTCTCGTACGACAACAGCGTGGAAAGCCATATTTGCTGTTGCAAGGATATATTCGCAAACTGAGAACCACGTAAATGCTGTAATAAATTTTAAATCTGATGAAATTTGCTTGCAAATAGAAAACATATGTTATTTATACGTTTATCCCATATCAAAAGTGTTTTCAGTGTGAATTTCTTGTATTCGTTTTAATAGGCTATTAAAATTTAAATAAGTAATATCAACTTGTGTTTAAAAAGTATCTTAAAACAACTTGACTTACCAAGTGGCCGACAAAGTAGTCGATGTCTTAGAAAAAAATATATAAGGCCCAATGTAGCCGCAGTCGCAACATAAAACAGTATCCATACAAGCTTATTAGTACGGACTGGCTCTACGATGTCATTTGCTATACAGCCTACTCTAGCTCGACATAACATATGTAGTAATGATGCTACCATAAATATAATGAAAATTTTTTCGTGTATAACTGAAAAAAAATATAATTAAACAATTTAGTTAAGTGTGTTAGAACCAGTTAGAAGAATATTCATCAATTTAAATCAATTTCAAAATATTATTTGATATTAAAAGATACTTTTTATATAGCTTACAATAATTCTCTCTATTTGACACATAAGTAACGCCTGTAAGCGCAAGGAGCTCAATTAAATTTAACCAGTAACAAGCTTCTCCTAATTTTGCCGCAAAATCTCGCATCTGAAAAAAAATGGTTGTCATGTAATATATTTTGATAAAAAATAATAATATTATATATTATTATAATATAATATACCTTTTCATCTACGATGTACGAAGTGCGCTCTCTATGATAGTTGTAATATAATGAACCTATTAACAGTCTTGGTCCTAGATGGTATGCAATGCATATTCTCCATATATATCTTTGCGGGCTGATTCCCGTAATTGCACTTATTGATGGTACTACATTGTAAACCTAAGAATTAGATTAACTATAATTAAGACAGTTCCTTAAATATTAACTTTAAATATTTGCCTGCAGTACTTACCCTACAATGTGTTTCATGTATATCATCTGCTTGAAATATAGACGCTGATACGTAACAAAATACTAAAGCACCTAGTGGAAGCCAAAGAGCAGTAAGACATATTTTTCTTAGAGAACATGACCATAGGAGTCCCTATAGAAATAAATATATAATTATTGTGAAAAGTGAGGTCTTCAAATGAATACGTAACAGAATACTAACCTTATATTGTAAAATTTGAACAGTTCTATTCGTAATACTCAATTCATTAGTACTTGCAACGACGTGATCGCTCGAATTCTTCGATGTCTCTACTTGTGAATCATTTCCCATTTTCCTTCTCACTCTTCGTGAACCATTAATCTCATAATTAATCAAGACTTTTCACCCAATAATAATTGTTTTATTTAATTTCATTATCACCAAAAATATAAAACCTTAACTTCCTACCTTATTACTTTATAATCACAAATTTATTTAATTGAATGTAAGTAAATAATACTAAATAAATTTGTGCAGTTCATTGTTTGTGCTTAAAATATACGGTTTTATATGAGATACAAAGATAAAACAAGTGAAATCACTCGAGGGGTGGATTGAATGAAGTTATTTGGACTTGCGCATTTCAAGCTTAAAGCTTTTCTTTATAGTAAGTAATACGCTTGAAATATCTATAAGATAAAACATATAGAAGTAACAAAATGAAATATGTAGAATCTATACTTTTCTTCAAACAAAATAAGAGAATTAGAGATTTTTAAGGATATTATTAAAAATCAATAATACAAAAATGCTTAATACAAAAAAATATGTATGTGACTGTTGCCTAAATTAATATAAAAAGAATTAAATCGAAATTTAATTGAATTGAATTTTATCGTAAGCTTAAAAATATCGTAATATTAAGCGTGATACATAATAAGTAGCCACTATGCTTAAGAGTCGTGTAAAGGTGAAAAAATAAGTGAACAGGCCAGGCCAATTAAAAGCTTGAGCCGCTACTCGAGAAAAAACTGCACATGAATATTTGACTTTCAACATTTTGTAATATGTGTCTATTCTTTATGGGATTTATTGTACATATATATAAGATTTTATGGATAAACATACTAATACGAATTTTGCAAGTTTTAAATACTATTGTAGAGTTGTCGATTAATTTAATTAACGTAATATATTTTATGTAATTCTTTATTGGCTTATGAATAATATTATGCTTTTTAATTGTGATGTTTTTAACTGATTTAAGATTTTCTGATATTATTAAAATGTTAAAAATAGAAATAATATGTTATATCTTGCTGTTATGCATATTTTATTCTTATTTAAATATTGCATATGGCAACTTGTAAAAAGTCAGTATGAGAAGTATTGACATTTATATATTTTTCAGTCTGTCATGCGTCGACATAGTGATCGGTTTGTCAGTGTTTGGATTTTATCAGAATACTAACAACTCCTCTGTTTTGAAATAAATGTTACTATATTTTAGTTTAAGTTAAGTTCAGTAAAAGTTCACCATGTCGTTACTTAGACTCTTATGGTTATTCAGTATGTGCACAGTGTATTTTGTGGAGATTCAGGCTTCTAGTCATTGGATGGTTACCGAAAGTGGTTTAATACAACCAAGGGTATGATAGTGATTTCCGTCTTGATATTATGTATTATAAAATATTATTGCCATTATCGTTTTTGTCCTGTTATTAAAGATATGAAAATTTGCATTAGATAAATCTATGTTTATTTTCCAGCTCGATTCGCCGTTCGACATGGCTCGCCCTTACGATCTTTTAGCTTTTTTAAATCAAGAAAAGAGATGGGATGGAATTTTTGATCTTTTTAATGATCTTACTAAGAGACAAACAAGCATTGATAAGCTTTGGGCAGATGTTACGCGATACACAAATGTTGGACGTCAAATCGCCCAGGATGAAGACTGTGCGAAAGCCGGTAACTTAAACGTAATCGATTGGTATGCAGGTCTGCTTGAAGATGGATCTAAGAAAATTCATCCAGATGAATTTCAACTTCCAAATCCATATTATGGTCCAAATATTGATATTCCTGATTGTAAGAGGATATCTTCTTTGACATTTAGTATGTTTGCTTTTGAACATTTAGAGGTAAGTGGATTTATTTAATTAGCTTAAATATATTAATTGTAGAATATATTAATGATAGTGTTTAAATTAAATACTTGCATATCTTGTTGCTACCATAAATTCATGTTATAAAGAGGAAAGGTTTTTTTGTTTGTTTGTACTAAATAAGCTCCGAAACTACTGGATCGATTTAGATGAAATTTGGTAAGAAAATAGTTTGAGACCCTGGGTAGGATATAGTACTTTTATCCCAGAAATTATCTCTTAAGGGGGTGAAAAATGCAGATGAAAGTTTGTATGGGGAATCAAGCTTGAGACAAACCCGATTGAAGCGAGGGTGAGTCGCTAGGCGTAATATTAAAATAGACTTTAAATGGATATCCAGTAATCCCATCCGTTTTTGCCCTTTGTGATATAATTTTATTATTAACCTGTTTACTTGAAAGTAGGTAGGTAACATCAACAACATAGATTTTTAATAAATTGTGAAATTCCTTAAATCAACTTCATGTATATACATAAAGAAAGAATATACTGCCATTTATAACATTTGTCCAAAGCGTAATTCAAGTTTCAATAAATAACAATACATGAACTGTTACTTTTATTGAACTAGTGGCAAAATATAACTGTCGCAGTGCTTAAAGTTTTTCTGCATTAAGATAAGGATAATGAATACTTTAACAAGCGTGCCTTCATTTGTTACTAGCAATTTACCCTTGCTTGCTTATGTGCACCTATTAGTACCTTATAGTAGCATATGTGTTACTCCAGGTCATAGTCTATCTAAGAAGGTAGTGGTAGCACAGTACTAACATGCTTGCTTGGAAAAACACGTAAAGTGAGTTCGAATCCTTGGTCTCTCACAACTGATATTCATGATATTCGTGTACGAATCATTTTCAACATAATTACAATTTGCCTTATTGTGAAAGAACAAACGAAGGAAGACAATTTAGTAAGTTTTAGAAAAACATGTTAAGGTTGGCAACCTTCACTTGGCCGATAGGTGAACTATGGTCTGCCCCCTCTCAGCAGCAACACTGCTGCTAAAAAGGGATGAAAACATAGAGTTAAAGATTTAATGTTATTTATGTAATATTAACTTTAATTAACTGCCTCGGTGGTGTAGTGGCCAGCATGTATGGCTGTACACTCGGAGGTTCTGGGTTCGAGTCCCGGGTCGGGCCAAGTTTAGTTATTGAGTCTCTCTGTAAAGTAAGTCAGTAACAGCCCATAGTTGGGAAGTTGGCGGTGTTTCACCCCCGTGCCTCGGAGAGCACGAAAAGCCGTCGGTCCTGCGCCTTAACTCTCACCAGTCGTGTCGAGCAATCGTCCCACCAGAGTATGAGAGTGACAGGAATAGAGAGTGCACTTGTGTCTGCGCGTACACTTGTGCACTATAATATCTCCTGCGCAGTTGGCTAGTCTCAATGAGATTGGCCGCCGTGACCGGAATCGGTCAGGAGAACATCATTAACTTTAATATAGATTGTTGTAAATATGAATAAAAAGTAAAGAAAAATAAAATATTAAAAGAAGTAAAGTAAAGAAGAATAAAAAGTAAAGATAAATAAAAATAATATTTTTATATGTATGTATGATTTAATTATTTCAGAGTATGATCCAAAGAGAAAATCTATCAGCCAACCCTGAATTTGTTTTACCAGAGCTGATATCCCCAATTATGACTATAGATCAGTATGGGCACTGGCTTGCCGGCATGCTACGAAGAAACAGTTCATCTTGGTTACATTATAATATGGCTTCTTTGTATTGGAGGGTTAGAGGCAGTGCGCCAAAGGCTATAGAATGTTCGCGGCGAGCCTTGCATTATGCACCGAGGTAAATAAATTTTGCTATGTTAATTTGTTCGATACTGTGTTTCACAATTGAAGTTTTACCTCTACAATTTTAAACTTTGTCTTTAAGTGTTTATTGTCTCTTAAATTCTAATTAATTTTAAAGCAAAATTTTGACAATTATTCGACAAACACACACAGCATTTTATAGTTACTTCAAAACGTTCCAGACTATGAACAATTTATTGCAAATTATAAATTAATAGAGAATTGAAAAAAATGTTAAGACATATGTTTGTATAATCAAAATTTGCAGTTGCACAATGTCATAACAATATTCATATATTTATTAATAATTTTACCCTTTAAAGATAGATATATTTATTATAACTCACCAAATTTCTGTATAAGCTGTATAGTTAATTAAAACATAACAGAGGTAACATTTGTTAACTTTTCAGAGAGTACAAAGATGTTGCTCTGGGTAGTCTTGGAGTGGTGTTGCACCGCAGTAGCAAAACAAATGATGCTATAATTGTACTTAATGCTGCTGTAGAACATGATAGAACCAATTATGTTAGTCATTTTTCGATTGCAAATGCATATACTGTGATTGGAGATTTTAATATGTCCCTAAAATATTATGATCAAACTCTAAAATTGAATCCAAGGATGGAGCTAGCCCAAAAGTATAAATATGGTGTTTTGTGTCATGCCAACCTAGTTCTTAGGATTAAGCTAATAAGAGAGTGAGTATTTCTGATTGTGTTTCACACAAATACGATTCTGTAAAACATTTTTTTATAAAATTCTATATGCTTTAGGACACTAAAGAAGCTTCGCGAGGAATTAAATGAGTATAATCTTAAAGAAGTTGCCTGGCCTCGGATACAAGCAGAGTTCTTAAGGACTATTAAAAGTTCAGAAGAATTTGGTAAATGTCTCAGAAAATAAGTTATTTAAATACAACAATGATCTGTTATATTCAAAAAAAAATGTAACTGAAATGAAATAAAATAAAATTTAAATGTTAGTGTATGATCACATAATGAGTTTTAAACTATTTCAAGGTTTTTAAGATTTTACTACAGCACAAAAATATCTAATATTAAAAGTAATTAATCCTGCCACCAGAAATATGTTCATTCATACCCATATATTATTTATGTCCATATAAGTACATATATGTGGATTTTATTTATATTTCTGTAATATAAATAAAAAAAAACAAATAACATAATCATATCAAATTAATTTCAGAATATAAAAATGTGGACAAGAATAATGAGAAGATGGCCTCTATAACTGGTTTAGATATAAAAGAATTACGAGTGCAAGTGGAAAAGAATTCCCTAATAAAATATTTCATTGATGGCTTTCCAATGCACAATGACGAAAAGCTTTCAAAACCGGGCATTGATGTAATAGATGTTATATATGGATTAGAACGACTCATACGACATGTGAATAAAAAAGGCAATATTCCAGATGTAACGTACCAAGAAGAGAAACCTGACAATGATCCTAAGTTCTTTGATTTAAGAGATCGAAATAAACCAATTGGCTCGATCCCAGGTTAGTTTTGCTTGTGCTTTATATTAGGGCCCATGCAGACTACGTTTTTCAATGGTCATGAACGTAAGTCGTATGAACATAATATATTGCGTTGATAAACTTAAAATGTCTATTTTATCCTCCGTTTTATAAATTCATCGAACATGAATGTCGTATTGTGAATTGAACTGGGACGACCGAGCTTTGCTCGCCATAGGCACTCGTCCAGTAGGTTCTCATCCATTGGCGACAATACAAGTACCATAAAAATAACGAAATATGAAGAAGGCATTTAAAATATGTATGTTATGTATGTGATTTTTTTTAATATTAATTTGTAATTTTACTTTTTAATTATTTTAAAAATCATTGCCATTACTATTTATTTCCTTATGTTTATTTTCTTAAATATGTGACAAAAAAAAAATTAAAATTGTGATTTCTTATAAGTACCGTAATATAATGTCATATGCATTTAGTAAAAAGCTGTTATTTTGACATTACAAACAGACACTTCAATTTTATTTATGTGTATAGATTATTATGTGCTTTAAGATTAAATATCACAAAATAGAATTTTGTCTAATGAACTAATATATGTCTATTCATGATCTAATCTAAATATAATATAGTACAGTAGTATTTTTAGTATTAATTTGACTTTAAACCTAATCTATTTTTAGTTATTACAATAAAAGAAAAACTACGCGATGGTAAAAATGCAGCAAGAGCCAATGATAAGAAACATCAGCAACCAGCGAGTGTTGCAGACGATGAGTTGACTGAATATGAGACTGGTATATTTATGTAAGTCAAATTATTATTCATTTATTTATTCAAATATGTTAATTTTATGTAATATTAATATTCCGAGAGCTTGCGACGAATTTTGCGAAGGTCCTTTTGGCAAGTTGAAATTGTGAAAAACAATAGAATAAAATAAATATTTAAGGGGGCTCCCATACAACAAACGTGATTTTTTTGCTGTTTTATAGAAACCCTTCATGCGCGAGTCCTAAATTAAAAGATTAAACAATAATAGAGTTGCCAAAAATATATTTATAAAAACAGCAACAAAATCACGTTTATTGTATGGGAACCCCCTTAAATATTTATTTTATTCTGTTTTTTTTGTATTGGTTATTATAGCAGCAACAGAAATACATCATCTGTGAAAATTTCAACTGTTTAATTATCACGGTTCATGAGATACAGCCTGGTCACAGACGGATAGACAGACGGACGGATAGCGGAGTCTTAGTAATAGGGTCCCGTTTTACCCTTTGGTGTCGGAACCCTAATAAACTACTCGTAAAATACTCTGTTGTGAACGCAGAACCCGAACCATACTCGAAACGTGCGGTTTCTCGATAACCGATCACAGCGCGAGGACCTTGGTCCCCTATCAGCTTATGGCATACCTCGATAAGCTATCTTTCTCGCACCTATGGCTACGCATAAGACTTTTTTGTAGTACTCATTTTTAAACTTTATTTACGTGTGAGAATGGTTTAAAACCGGTAAATTCGTCTGGCGATTTGCAAGTATTATAGAAAATCACTCAATAAATACGTGATTAAAATTTCAGATAGCCAAAAGTATATTTGTTGGGAATTTTAATAAAGCATTTTTGGAGAGGTCTGGCAATACTTTATAACCGACAAAAACGTCTGGGGTTCTTTTTTTTGAATTATGTGAAAACTAAATTAAAAGATTAAATAAAAATCAAGTTGCCAAAAATATGTATTTTTTGGATATTTTTTTTTGCAAATATTATATATTGCACAGTAACGAAATAACCGCTAAAGCTATACCAGACTCGCGGGACTGGACTCGCCAATTCACGAAATTATATTTTCTCACAATTTCAACTTGCCAAAAGGACCTTCCCAAAATTCGTCACGAGCTCTCGGGCTATAACAATAATAATTACCTTCTTCCTGACTAGCCATTTACTTGAGAAATATTTTTTAACTGCTTTGTTGATTGGGATGTATATCTGGAGGTTCTAGATTCGAGTCCTAGGTAGTGTCAAGTATAGAGTAATCTTGAGAGGTTAACGGTGTTACATCACTGTGTCTCGGAGAGCATATGTCGCATCAATCTCGCGCCTGGTCTCTCTCTCTCTTCTTTCTCTTCCTATTCTTTCTCTTCCTCTTCTCTCTCTCCCTCTCCTCTCCCCCCACCCCTCTCTGCTCTCTCTGCTCTCTCTCCTCTCTGCTCTTTCTCCTCTGTCTTTCCCCTGACTCTCCTCTCAACTCTCACGCGAGTGTCGAGTAGTTGTCTCACTGGAGTTTGAGAGTGACTGGAATAGAGAATGCACTTGTTAGCACACGCACTGCAAAACAGTTAAACTCAATGAGATTGATTACTGTGGCTGAAAATATTCATGAACGTATTAATTATTCTGGTATGTATATGTAACGGTAGATAGATATTATGACATTTGCCAAGATTGTAGTGTGTTTCGTCTTCTATACATATAATAAAATTGTAAGTAAGCCGAATCTGTACATTAGATATTTTTTTGGAAAATCTTATTGAAATAAACATTATTATTGATACAGAGGCCAAATCTATAGAATTTTTATAATTTTTGTCTGTCTGTTACCGCATCATAGAAAACCCACTGGAGGGATTTTGATGAAATTTGGTATGGTGATAGCCGGTTATCCGGATCAACATATAGCATACTTTTTACCACGGGAAAATATCTCATTTTTGAGAAAAAATACAAAAACTGCAATGTAAGAGTATACTTATAAGTAAAACCTAAGAATTTGGTTTTTGGTCATCTGAACGCGGGCGGAGCCGCGGGCAATGCTAGTAATACTATAAATGAATGCAGATGTGGGTGTAGTCTACATTACTTATTTCCTTACTTCTATATTTCCATGAGAGGAAATCGTCTTAATACTTAAAAAACAGTAGTTAAGTAAGATAGGCCACGGCATGATTTTGGCCCGACACAGGATTCAAATCTTGGACCTTATAATCTATGGCTTATTTTCACGGCATGTTATATAATCAATTATTAATTATAATGACATATAATATCTTTTAATAGTTATTTAAGCCAAATTATGTTTTGTTACCAGGTATCCACCAACAATGACGGTGAATAGAAATGTTGAAGATTTTGATAAGGAAGTGGAATGGCCGTCTAACAAACTTTGCAAAGAAACTGCACCAAACTTCCCTGAAAATGTAGAGGCTATATTTCCTATTTTTATGCCTTTTGAGAATAAGGGTGTTAGGTGAGTATATTTTTAATCTGTCTGTCATGTTTTTGTAAAGGTAACTAAAAATTGTAAATTTTATATAAAAAATGACTTTAGTTTGGAAGTTGAAATGATTCATTCAGTTTTTCAACAATGATCTATAAGTTAGGTCAGTGAACACCTATAAGATTTTGCTAATGGTGATGATGATGTTCTCCTAGCCGATTCCGGCCACGGCGGCCAATCTCAATGAGATTAGCCAACTGCGCAGGAGATATTATAGTGCTCAAGTGTACGCGCAGACACAACGTGCACTCTCTATTCCTATCACTCTCATACTCCGGTGGGACGACACAAGACACGACCGGTGAGAGTTAAGGCGCAGGACCGGCGGCTTTACGTGCTCTCCGAGGCACGGGGGTGAAACACCGCCAACTTCCCAACTCCGGGCTGTTACTGAGACTTACTATACAGGAAGATTCAATAACTAAACTTGGCCTGACCCGGGACTCGAACCCAGGACCTCCGGGTGTACAGCCGTACATGCTAGCCACTACACCACCGAGGCAGTCATGCTAATGGTAATACCAAAATAATGACATTTTAACTAAAAATATACATTTACAGACATTCATTAATCAATTCACAATTGGCAAATGAATTTATGGAAAATAAATCACAAAATCCTCCCTCTTTCAAGTCGGTCAACACTCATCTCGAATACCAAAGAACGCTATACTTGGCTTGGCTGAAAGAGATCTTTTGTAGAGAGAGATATGCCGCCCTTTGCTCACGTTGGTCTGTGTATTTGTTTATATTAAAAACTTTTCAATATAATACAAACTAGAGTTCGCCGAGTGGTCGAACTTCGACCGTGATTATTATTGATTTTTCTTAAAAAGGGATACAAAGTTTTTGCTTTACGTGCTAATACATAATTCTCAATTTGACCACAGACTTTAACAATAAACAAAAGAGTATATATGCGTATGTGTGTCAAATACATGATAGTGTGTGTAATGTTTTTTTATTGATTTAATGTATTTTTATATATTCTCTATATAAACTATAAGTGTGGGAAATTTCATACTCCTCTGTCCGCGCAATTTCCGTAAAAAGGGGTACAAAGTTTTTGCTTCACCTATTAATATATAGATAAACTAATGTATTTAAACAATTAAACATCGAATTTCTTTCAGAATGAAGTACCTGCTGACTGAGAAGCTAGGCGTGCCATTGTCTGAAGAGTTCGAGCTGCCGTGGCACCCGCCCACGTGCCCGCACGACCGCGAGGCTGCCTTCACGCAGAAGAAGTCCAAGTTAGTCTAATATTGCTACTATGAAGGACTGCAAAATCCCTTTTTAGTCCCATTGCTGGGCACGACCCTTCTTTCCATATAAGGACCAGGCCGTAATCCACCATGCTGGCCAAGTGCGGGTTGGCGGATTTCAAATGTCTTTCGAAATTTACTAGGTCCGCTCAGACATGCAGGTTTCCTCACGATGTTTTTCTTCATCGTAAGACAAGTAGTAATCATGTTAGAATGAATCACACATGAGATTATCAGAAGTGTAAGACTGGAATTTGAACTCGCTTTATTCGGTTGTCCAAGCGAGTGCGTTACCACTGGGCTACCACTGCACAGTGTCGGCACTGCACTAGACTAGTGTTAAATCCGAATCTAATCTCATAATCCCATCTCATTAATAACATTATAAATGCGACAGTTTAAATGGATGTTTGTTACTCAATCATGCCAGAACGGCTGAACGAATCTAGATGAAATTTGGCACAGAGATAGATTATAGTCTGGAAAAGCACATAGGCTACATTTTATCTCGGAAAAATTTACGGTTCCTGTGGGATAAATTTGAATTTGTTTTGTACTAGAAACTTACCCGAGAGAAGCGAGGGTGAGTAGCTAGTGAATAAGAAAATCTAAATCTGTATGTATGTTTGTTACTCTTTCATGTTGAAATGCCTGGACGAATTTTGATGAAATTTAGGACGCAGATATGTTATGACCTGGAACAATACATAGGCTAAAGAGTAGCTAGAGTAGCGAAATAAATACATAGTTAACGTTTGTTGTCTTACACGTATTTTTGCATCGTTGATCTTTAAAGGCTGTGTGCTTTGTTTTTTTTCTTCATATAATAATAATTGAATTATTAACTTTAATATGACGGTGCAGAGTTAAAGTTTCTAAAAAAGAATAATATTATATAATTAATTCCAATTTTAAAAGTTTACACAACAAATCATTAAGCTCATTTTAATTTTCAGATATCCCTCAAACTCAAATATACATCTATGTATAAATTATCATCAGTTTTTATCCACAGGCAACAGTTATCTACAGATGTAGTAGACACAGGCTATTTGCGTTTAAAGTTATTGGAGTACGTGAGTGACGGCAACGTAGAGGCGGCGCGACACATGCAAGATGCTGAAATTGGTCAAAGGATATACGCTGCTATGAAAAAGGTTAAATATTTAAATTATTATTTACATGATACTAGCTAGTTTCCTGCGGCTCCGCCCGAATAGTACATTAATCACCAATGTATCATATACTAAAACCTTCTCCGAAACACGCTGCATCTTATGGTATGAGTATTATTCCGATCGGTTCAGTAGTTGTCGCAGTATAACCGAACAAAATAATCGGCTCTCCATTTATTAGTATAGATTAATTACAGGTTTGCTTGTTGTGTAATTATTCTATTTTGATCCATCGTAAGTTAAAAATTATTCCCGCTTTATATATAAGCGCGTGTAAAGGAAAGGTTATATTTTTTTCAGCTGATGGAAATGAAACTCAGAGTATTACTTGTAAAACTTCTGACAGTTTCTTTTTTATATTTTGAAGATATGACTATCTGAAACTAACTTACTAATAGATGAAATTAAAATATTTATTAAATAATATATTTATTAAATATAATAAAAGTATTTTTCACTTCAAAAGTGAATACTTTTACATTAGTTTTTTGAAAAATATAAAAAAATTAGTCATCTTCATACACAATGAAGCATAAACTCAATAACGCTGAGTGAATGATTTTTTTACCTGACTAATATATTTTGGACGTTATATATACTATTGTATCAGCTTTCTTTCATTGTTCTACAGAAACTAGCACCAAAATGGATGCTCCTAACACTATCGTCCCTATACTGGAGGGTCCGCAATAACAATGTCAACGCTCTTCACTGCCTCCTTACGGCCGGTCGGTGGGTGCCGCAAAAATATAGGGATGTTGTTTTAGTATCATTGGCTTCGGTTTATTTGGAAATGGGTCATTTTGATGAGGCTTTGGCAGTTGCTGAAGAGTCGTTTAGGATCAGTTTATATGAGGTATGTGGCTATATAAGTTTTTTTAAGATATTGCAAGTATTTTTATTAGAAAAGGGTTTGTGGGAATCCTTGAGTATTCCTTGAATACGTGCTCAACTTATTTTATCAGTTACCAAGCAAGCATACTAGAAATCTACATACCTCCACATTTTAGTATTATAGTGTTAATTATTTTCGAGTAAAATGACTATTGTAAACACCGCTAGATTACAATCTATCTAGCGAGATTGTAAACTGTCGAAAGATTTTGTTCCGGCATTTTACAATCTCGCGAGATAGATTACAGTCTAGCGGCACTTACAATTTTACGGTGACATATATGTATATTACAATTATATTTCCTGTATGTTTTAAACTTATACAGGATTAAAAACGTCTCAAATTCGCTTCGTTTGCGTGCTTACTTAGTTTACTAACAGTAGCCGTTGCCAAAGTCTATCACTAAATTTCATCTAAATCGCTCCAGCCGTTTCAATTTGAAGGAGTAGCAAACATACACACACACAAACTTTCAGATTTATAATAATAGACCAATGGACAATGGAAATTAACAGCCTTTTGAGAAACAGATTATATGTATAGTAGCAGATCCGGCAGACGTCCTGTCCAAATATGGTCTTCATCATATTTGGTATTCAACATAGTCTGCACATACAAACCTAGAACTCGACTGCAGCGCCACCTATCCGGGTCCAGTTGTGAATCTACTTCACCCACTCAAACACTAACAAAAAAAAATCATCAAAATCGGTCTAGCCATTTAGGAAGAGTTCAGTGATAATACACACGTAAAGAACAATTATATATAAAAAGATTTTTTTGTTCTTCTTCCGTCCCCGATCCCGTTATTTGAGGTTGGGTCTCACTTTACCTTTACTGGTCTTGGCCATTGGGCTTTCTTTTTCTTCTTTGCTTCTTACTCTTTCTCTTCTTAAAAAGATTGTTTAATAATTAAAAATTCATATCTTTTCAGCCTGCGACAAATTTCCTCCTCGCAGAACTGAACATGTTAAAGAAGCACAGAAATACTCACATGTTCCATCTAAAGCAAGTAGTGCGAGTGGAGGCGGGCTTTATGAACGGACTCGCGCGCAACTTGTTGAACGGCTGGGCCTGTATATTGAAACAAGTTAATGCTTTACGTGAAATGGGTGAGGTTTTTATTTTGTATGAGCTTTTATTTTCAGGATATTTTACCTATTTTTGCTATTATACTTCACAAGTTTCAAAACAGGTTTTACTTTTGATGTGTAACTAATCTTTAATTAATGAATTATTATTTATGTGAAACTAGCGACTCAAAACTTAACTTAACTTTGCTCGGGTTCGTCTCTAGCTTGCTTCCCAATACAAACTTTCATCCCCATTTTCACCCCCTTAAGAGATGATTTCCGAGATAAGAAGTATCCTCTGTCCTTTCCAGTTTAGTAGATCCAGAGAATACCCCCTACAACGTCACAAACTCACAAACTTTACCTGTTTATAATATTAGTATATGCAGATGAAGTTTCTAAATCTAATTTAAAATAATTTTTGCCATTGAATAGTCTATTTTTTGATTAACAATAAGTAAGTGTATATTTAAATACATATGTCTTAAATAGTTCGAAAAATTTGAAGTCCATCGAGCAAGACATGAGATGGATCTTAATATTTTTTGTTGTGCAACTATGAGTCGGAGTAATATAGATTTTCCATTCGTTAAGTTTCTTTATTTGAAGCACTTTTCGATAAAGTGGGGAGCAAGTTCAAATGGCTGTGGAGTAACGTGAGTGGAATAAGAATCTGGATTTTACTAGAAATTTATATGATTATACCTATATAAATAAGCCCCTTGTCATTATAAAAATAATAAAAAATCCAAAACTAATTAATTTTGTTAGCAGCTGTCAAAAATATTTCATAATATATACACTGATAAAAACAAATACAATACCGCCTTATTTTGTGAAGTCACTCAAAGAGAGCAATTATGTTTTACTATATTATTTATAAGTGATTATAAGTTAATCTTTTTTTTTTTAAATACATTTATGTAATAATTATTTCAGATTTTGGAGAAGGCGACATTTGCACGCACGTACAGCCTTTAGTAAACATGGTATGTGAGAAGGATGGAGAAAATTGTCAAATGGCGAACATACAATGCTTTAGCAGTCATGAACGAGGTTAGATTTTTTTTAAGTTGTTTTTTTTTGCAAATTTTGTCATATACTTCCAGTTTTTTTTCCAAATATACGATTCTAATAAAACAGTTTAATGAGATGGTCTTTATTTAGTACTAACTAATATCCGTGGTTCTGCTCTTTGCGTGGTGCCACAAGGGCAAGCAATTCAGCTTTTAAAAACTAAAAAAAAAACACATTTTTTTTGATCCTATAGTTACAAGTAAAAATAATAAAGGCGTGTCCATAGATTATGTTCCACGAGTATCCTCTGTCTAAAATGCCAGTAAAAATTACCTTATACAATATATTAAGCCATTTTGTCCATGTCTATGCTCGGTAAAATAATTTTTAATTGGATTTTACATACAAATTCTTTACAAATACATATTAAAATTGAGTTTTTTTTAAAAAAACCTGAGCTTTTAAGTTCACTGAATTTACAGACAGATTTTGAAAGTCGGTTATTATGTCAGACCAAAGAATTATATAGACAGAGGCCACCAACAAAAATATCAAAGCCAGAAATAGTAGCGTGATGGGTTTTTTATGCTATAATTGTTGATTTTGCCATACAGATCGTTCACGTTATTTAAAGAATAATGGAAATTTTATATATGTACATATGTATTAGTTAATTAATATACATATGTATGTACATTTTTGAGAATAAAAAAAGGATACTATATTTTTTTGTATTTTTAAGCGTTAGTTCTCTTCCACTTCAAAAAGAGATAGCATAATCTTAGCTCATTTTTTTTTCTTTATTATAATAAAATCCTTTAGCTTTTTAACTCATTTACATTGAAAATAAATTTACATTAAATTAATAAAACTCTCATTTGTATACCATTTTAGTTTAATTTGTATACCATTTTAGTTTAGTTCTGTGATATACTCTGTATATATTATTCCTGAGACATGTAAAGACAAAAAACTTTCATTAGTAAAGAAATCAAATCGTTTATTTCTAAACATTACTACGTTTCAGCAGACACAAGTGCTCTAGTCCGTCTTCTAGAAGAGAAGGACGGAGCTCATGTGGACAGCACAGAGTCGACTTTCTTTGACCGGTTCATAGAAAACACGCCCACAGACAAAGCGGATAGACTCGAGCACCACGCCAACTTTGATAATATGGTGCGGACCATAGAGACTGTGTTGAAGGGATGTGGATCCGGAGGCTGTCACAGTAAGTGTTTAGTTATTGAGTGATTGGTTCATATTTTGTTATAGATTTACATATATAATAAAATGGTTTGAGTTTGTATATTGGGTAATTGACCGATTTTAAAATAAGGTGGTGCTTAGTTGTAGTGTATGTTTTTGACACACCGACAGCTAAAACGCGATATGAGGTTAGCTGTAAACAACATGATGAAGTTAGCCGAAAGCGACATGATGAAGTTAGCTGCATTCCTTTTACAAACAGAGAGTTTTGATGTGCGGGATGAAATCTTTAGCTATTTTTGTTCTGTTACGCCAAAAAAGTATAATTTCTTACGTGCGTCCATAAGTACACACACACGTTTTTTAAATTTTTAATTTTATTAGCCTATTTCCTTCCATTCTTATTAATATAGTGATTATTATATTAAAAATGTGTTTGAAGATGGAGATAGTGAAAGAAGTATTTAATTATGGTCTGTCTGTCTTGATTAACTAAAACTAGTTGACAGTTTTATTTATACAATTGTTTATTATAATAAACTTATTTTTCTATCATATATTTTTTACAATTAATTATATTAGTTTTATATAAAATAAAGCCTTATTAATAGCCTGCAAACATGCACTTCAGAAAAAGAATAAATTATCATGTTTTATTTTCACCAATCCATCATAACAATAATGTTAGACCTGCTCACCAGGTCTCAAGCCCGAGGACCTGGCTATGAAGGAGGAAGACTGCAACTACCACCACCTGCAGCTGGGCTATTGGCTGCATATTGTTAGTTTTCGACAACTGCTCACTGACTCTAATGTTGAGTAAGTTATATAGTTAACTACTATTCTCACTTATATATACTTATATAAAGAAGAAAGATTTTTTGTTTGTTTGTTTCTTTCTACCGAATAAGCTCCGTAAGTACTGGACCGATTTAGATGAAATTTGGTAAGAAGATAGTTTGAGACTCTGGAAAGGACATAAGATAGTTTTTATCTCGGAAATCGTCCCAATCGGGGATCGGGGAATCAATCGCATTATATAAATGCGAAACTAGGGTCTTTATGATGGTATTCTACAATTGTGTATGAATAGATAATTTTATAAATGTATGGGACATCATAACTCTTTATTGTCTCATTTCAAAATATTTTTTTAAATTAAGCCAGGTTGAGTGCCTTTAGGTATTTTTGTTTTGATTAAGTTTCTTGCATTTACGGATCGACGTGTTGTTTACTTTTCCTTGTACATCAAGTGAAAGGTACAGGCAAAGAATAGGGAAGGTCACAAATTTTGTGTTTTGTTTTTCACCAGTAACGGTAGTGACGAATCTATGTAAATAGTAATTCTATTCCCAACCATTGGTTTTTAAAAATACTCAACTGATGTCGCTAAAAATACGTTTTTATCTGTGCCCAAATTGAAAAAGAACTGGGAATATCCATGACATATCTGTAAAGAAGGAGATTTGTTCAAAAATGTACATAGTAAAAAGTTATTGCATACTTTGATCTCAATTAAAATATTATACTTCTAAACTCTAAATAGCTTTTTTCCATAATCTATTCATTAGGGCACTCCTTGTTCTTTGCCTGTACACTTCAAGTGGTTATTTTGAATATAATTATAATATGTCAAATGTCAATTGCTGGCCTTTCTAAATTGAGCATTTTTGTTAAGTGATTCAATGCATTTGACTAAAACACAAAAAAAAATTTGAACGTTAGATTACGTGTACTATGTAATTTTAAATCATCACGTTACAATAACTTATTTTAGTTTAGTATTGTTTGTATATATACGGGCAATGTTGAATATTATTAAGAATTATTAAATAAAAAATAAAACACAACCGTATCAATAAAAAATGCAAATATTTCACAGACTCCCATCAGAAATAACATCTATGACGCCATCAAGCAAGAAGGTTCCAGAATGTCGTATAACAGAAGACCCGTTAGAAGACTTCTACGCAGAGAAGTTGTCTCGCGTTAGCACTGAAGGCTGGAAGCCGGTGTTGAGCCTCACGCACCAGTTCGCTGAAATTTTCGACTACTTTGATTATGCCACTTTGGGTGCTAAGATTGCTAAATATGTGGATACTGTAAGTTGGAATTGTTTTTTTGATTTTGTTTTAGGTTAATTTGTGTATGTAGAACCGTATTGTTTTGTTTATAACAATTAAGTGAGAAGGGATTGAGTTAAAAGTGTCAATTATTTTTTACTAATATTTATAATATTAAATACAATTAAAAGAATATCTATCATATATACAGAATATTTTGTTGTTTAAAAACATTGTTAAATTTCATTTCAAGTGATTAAGTAGTTTTGGAGATTCGTTTTGAGTTATTCAATGAGAACGTGCATAAAATACATCTCTTTTAATTAGGATACTTAGAATAAATTCGTTTATTAGGATACTTTACTTGTTCTTAAAGTTTTACAAATATCGCTATTCATTCATATATTTTATGATGCACATTAAAATTACCTTACGTTATATGCTCTTGTGCAATGGTGCTGTCAAGTCCTTGAGCTACTAACAGTACTTCTCAGTTCTCAGTTCGAAAAAAATTACCGTTCATTCTGTTTGGTGTGCGCGGTCGTCTGTATGTGGGAGATTGCTGCCAAATGACATTTCTATAAAAATACGTTACCTACGTGCTAAAAAATTAACAAAATTATGTCCCGCACATAAGTTTAGACTGAAGAATTATATAGACGGAACCCGTCAAAAAAATGTCATAATAAAAAATAATGGTGTGATTTTGCTGTTTATGCTTATGTTCTCGATATTGCCATACACACCGTTTACTTTCTTTAAAGAATAAGACTAAGACATGAGACTAGATGGTGCTGTGTGCGAATGTTCCACCATATTTATTTATTAGTTGTACTACGGACTCATCGTCGCTTCGCTCTAGTTCGTCCCTTGGTACGTTTTAATTTTGTGGAGCGGAACCCTAATTCCTTTGCCTATAATAATAATAATTCTTGCCTATGTTACTCCCTATAACATCGGCTATCTTCCAGTAAAAGTCAAAATCAGTCCAGCTGTTTCAGAGATTATGTGGAACAAACAGACAAAAATTTTAAAAATTGTATTTTTCTTATAAGTACCGTATATAATTCCATATGCATTTAATAAAACGCTGTTATTTTGACATTACAAACAGACACTTGAATGTTATTTATCTGTATAGACGAGTGTGAGTGTATAAGGTGTCGGTGTTGACAGCGCGCGTCGTCGTGGGCGGGCGCGCTGGCGGCGGGCTGGTGGTGCGGCGCGGGCGGGCGCGGCGCCTGCGCCACGCGCTGCCTGGCCGCCGCGCGCGCGCTCGCGCCGCCGCGCCACCAGCACTACGCCATGCGCGCGCTCGCCGCGCTGCTGCACATGTGAGTACACCTTCAAATGCATTCCAGCCCTTGTTAACGTGTCACAGCGGGCACTGGCCTTCAGTACGAGGGGGATCAGGCCATAGTCCACCACGCTGGCCAACTGCGGGTTGGCGGACTTCACATGTCTTTTGAAAACATGCTAGGTTCTCTCAGACATGCAGGTTTCCTCACGATATTTTTTTTCCACCGTAAGGCAAGTGGTAATCATATTAGAAATGATTCGCAAGTGAAAATATCAGAGGGATCGGCGAGACCCGGGATTTGGACCCGCTTCACTTGGTTTCCCAAGCGAGCGCGTTACCACTGGGCTACCACTGCCTTGAAATGAAATGAAAATAAACTTTATTCAATGAGACTTACTAGTTAGTGATTGCCTCTAACAAACAAGGTTACGTTATGAAGAAGGTTGTGCTTTATCATTTACTAAGGGCATCCCTTGTGACGTCATCACAAATACCAGGCGAGCATAAGTGTTAAGGAAGTGTATGCACTTTTTGATGTGACGCTACATATATAATGAGCACTCCTTGAGGTTCGTGGTCCCTTAGTACTCGTGACAAAATTATCAAGCAATCATAAGTGTTGAAGAGTGTATGTTGTAAGAAATTCGTGTGCACGCTGGGCAGGCCTTTCGTCGATGAGCTTCAACATGTGCAATGCACATTGCTCGACATCCATTGCCCGGTTTCTGAGGTATTTTTATCAGAAGTTTATCTACTTGTTAGCGTTATTGGTTCGAACTGGAACTTACGTAAACTAAACTCCGTTTAAACTTAACTTGTCTTAACTGACTAATCTGTGCCGTTTATTGGTTCCATAGCTATATGTGAAATTTCATTTTTTAACGTCAGTCAACTATTAGGTTAGAGAGTGTTAGAAATTAATTTTAAACCAAAGTATAAATAATTAACTAAATCAAAATATGTCCTGACTGATTTTGGCCACGGCGGCCAATCTTACTGAGACTAATCAACTAGAAGATAGAATAGTGTATAAGTATGCGCGAATACACAACGTCCATTATTTATAATATTTTAGACAAAGGGGTGTACCACCACCAAATTTCTAACGAATCTTCTATCTTGGCTCGACAGGAACTGGGATCTAACCCACAGCCACTACGGACGACCACTGATGGAGCCAGTAGACGAACTAGGCGGTCAAAACGAATCACACAATCACATAAAAAACACGCACGTATAATTAGAATTTAAATAAAATTAACATATTTTTTTTCAGGCAATCAAAACAAAAGGACGCAAAAGACGTGGCATATCTTTCGTTTTACATGTCGCCAAAGAGCAAAGTCGAAGCGTTCTTAGTTGCCGTCTCTCATACATATCTCGTAAGTTTTATAAGTTACATTTAACCTAATAATTTCAAAAAGAAAATATGTCTACTTAATTATTATATAAAATATATATTATAAGGTATAAAATTGAAAAAATCATTACTGGTTTATTATTATTATTGTAGTTAGCATACACAAAAACATATTATAATTCTTCTTGTCTGTGTATTTGAATTAATTATGGACTCATGAAAATTATACATAGTAATTACTTTTTAACTAAAAAGAATGACTTCAAAAGTCACCTCGAAAGTAGTTATTTTACCCCTAAGGATATTTTTTTATAATTTATATAGGCCATTATTAAACACCTATTCGTTTAAATAAACTATTAATGAAGATAAGCGAATATTAACGAAAAAACATAATTTTTTTAAACGAATAATTTAAATAATAAACAATATCAATGAAAACAGGGGGAATACGACCAAGCAATATGGATGTACCGGTATGCGCTTTCCTTCGATGACAAGTTCCTACCAGCCAAGGCCTGTCTGCACGCTACCATGTGTCTCATGTTCTATGGCGACGATAAAACAAAGACTAAAGAAGAATAAAAGGACTGAAAAAGGATAGAACTAAATAACAATACAGCTCTTGTAAATCAAAGTCGTATTTGGAAAATTAATCTGATATCTGTTTAAGTTATATCACAGTCTATTAATACATGCAGTCATATACATAATGTAAGTCATCTATACTAATATTATAAAGAGGTAAAATTTGTGAGTTTGTGACGATATAGGGGTAATCTCTGGATCTACTAAACCGATTTAGATGAAATTTGCCTAGAAGATAGTTTGAGACCCTAGGAAGGACATAGGACACTTTTTATTCCGTAAATCATGCCTTAAGGGGGTGAATATAGGGATGAACGTTTGTATGGAGAATCCAGCTAGGGATGAACCCGAGCGACGCGAGGGCGAATCGCTAGTTGAGGTATAAGGAGATACGGGTGAGGTGTTCTCGACTGTGATACTTATTTTTATATCACAGTCGTGAAATGGCTTAAGGATTGACGGAATAAGTAACATGCCACGAGATGGTCATACAGTGCTTTAAGTTCAGAACCAAGGCAATTGGTATATTTTGACAACCATTGCATTTGGTAGGATTTCCTTTATGATTGGCGATCAAATACTGTATGGATTATTATACTGTGTATTATGTGTATAAATTATTTATGTATATTACATGAAAATGATAAAATACTTATAGGTATTTTCATAACATACATAAATACATCGGTTTTTATCTAAAAGAACAATACTAAAAAATAGTAAATATTATTATGTAATGTATTTTTATGTTGTAAATAAAACAAACATCATGCATAAAACAAAACAAAAATAAATAGAAGTATCAGTACTTCTATTTTATATTTTTTCCAAAAGTAAAATCATTTGTTTTAGTGTCTTTATATAAGATGAGTTTATGTTTATTGAAAATATTGCTTTTTACATTGTAATCTTTTAAATACGGCTTTGATTAAAAATGTACTTCTGATACAAATTAAATTATGTATAATAATGTAATAAGTGATGGACAATCGACAAACATTAAATGTACACTTTGCAAGGTATAAATTATGTTTTTTCTCTATTCAATGTCATATAAAGGTATACCATTTCTATAGAATAAAAAGGAGCACAGTATGTACTATTACTATATATTCGTCTATTAGAGGCAAATTTTGAAACTCATTTTGAAAATTCGTCAGCAGTGTCATATAAAATTTTTAAAGAAAAAAATGGCACTCTCAAATGTTATAATCTTTATTATAGTATGATTTTTAATTGGGAAGTTTCTAAACCTGTCATATTTAAAGTCGACTTTTAATCTTTTGTCTATTCTTTTCGATATTGAAAGACATTACAAATATATAAAAATAACTCTTACCATAGAAACTCCATAAAAATATGTGTGAACATAGGATAAGTATATATCAATTCAGTGTATAGATTAAAAAGACATTTGAATCTTAACAAAATATTTACGAATTAATGTTATATTTAACCATACATTATATTCTTTATATATGTATCTTAGTCTCGTTTGGACTTCATATAACAATATCATCAATTTATAATGAAAAGATTCATAATATTTATAATAGATATAATTATCACAAATACCAAAGAGAAATCGCAGGCTATAGCTAGTCATCTATGGCGAAACTAATGTTAAGTGTAAGTGTATCTATCTGTCTGTATAAAACTATCCTGTTTTATATAATTACAATTATTTTATCTACGTACATATGTATGTATGCATGTATGTATGTGTAAGATTTTCCAGTATAGAAGTATAATATACTAATCCCTGCTATGCAGTTATTTCATCAATCTTATACACAATTTCTTGCAGCTGTCTTGTATACAATTATTGTATGCTACCTGTTATCCTTTAATAAAATAGGAGAAATTCAAAAGTGCAATGAAAATTACTTAAAGAAGTCATGAGATTTATTCGAATAAAGATAAAATAACCATATTCATTTTTGAAATAAATTAAACTATTTTTGTTTTCTTATGTAGACAATAGATGGCGTTGATTTGCAACTGTAAGATTATTTATTTTGTAAAATACAATACATATTATGTATGTTATAAAATACGTAATGCCAATCTATATATACGCAGTAAAAACTCGTTACCTAATTTTAAGTCTTTTTTCAACCTATCGGAAAATTACGAAAATTTGATGTTAGAATTTTAGGTTCTATTTTCCTTTTATTTTTTTTATAAATTAATGCATATAACGCCATCTATTGACATTTATATAAACTAACTTCTTATTACTGAAGAAAGCCCATGCTGTGTTTTATTACGCGTACAGGTCAGTGCATTATTATAAAGTGTTTATTTTGTTCATTCACTCATTTGATTTCTGTGTAGAAAACACACATTTTTAAAAAATATATATTCATCATCCCTGACCCAACCGAGCGTTTTTAGCTATTCCCATAACATTTACTGATTCATCAAATCATCTATAAAATATCGTGTATCTGCGTGTTAATCTTTCTTATTCTTCATACAACTACTGTATATAACTGCCCTTATATAGGATTACACGCAAATATCCTTTACTATATACAATTTTACTTTCAAACTGTGCATAGCATTACTATATTCTTAAATGTTAATTTGAATCCGTGTGAAAGATATTTTTGAATGTTTCATATTGGTTTAACTTTTGTAGTATTTTTTATATTTTGTACTAAATATTGTCTTTGATTTTATTGTTTAAATGTTATTTAAGTTCCGCCTCAAAAATTAGTCATTCCAATAATGAAAATATTTTTATTATTTAGATGTTACATTCGATTTTGGTTGTGCTGTGTGTCTTCATAGAAATATAACATATCTAAATTATAAAAAAAAAAAAACAATATTTATGGCATATGAATGTAAACACCGTAGTTAAATCTTACATTGACCTTTTTGTAAATGTAATCATTATCTGTGTACATTCTTCTTTAAAAAAAATGTGAAATGATCTATTTCAATAGGGAATATGCGGGTGATTTAAATAAAGGTCAAGTATATATTATTTTATAATCTTTTTTATAATTTCATCAATATTTTTTAATGTAATTTATTATTGATTAAAAAATAATTATAGAAAAGTGCAAAAATACTGGTTCACCGGTTCACTTGTTGATTGCGATGTTGTCATAAACTATGACGTCACGCCAAGTACGCCAAAATAGTGGGCGCTTTATTAAAAATCATTCTATACTGTATGGTACTTTTAATTTATTTTTCAAACTAAATTTTAGTTTTTTTGGAGCTGGACGGTTTCTTTCCAATTATATATGGATGAAAGCTATTGTATATAAAAAAAAACAAAAACACGCATATTCCCTGTTAATCTCTATCTATTCTTAGATCTGTTTATATCATGTTATTTTTTTAAATATTCTAATTTGATAAAAACTAAAATTATTATTTAATTCTCTTATATTGGTCAATTTCTATAACATCGCCCACTAATATCTTACAACAATAGATATCATTTCACATTGATTTAAAGTTTAATAAATAAATCAGTGTTTTAAATAATAATAATAGCAATAGTTGTCCGATCATAACTTATGTCACTTTAATATTTTATGACTTAAATTATCTGTATTATGGTTTTTTAATTATGTGTGCTATATTTGTTGCATTGCTAGAAAAAGTTCCTTTATATATGAACAGATATAAGCTTTTTTACGTTTTGCTTATATCTATATTTAAAAATTACTATGAATGAGGATGAAGAATCTTAAGATCAATTAAATGAAATGATTGCTTGAGCAAGATCTACTTTGAACATTCCAATAGCAGAAATATTTGCTGGGCGTTTGATTTAAAAACTAACGATTAAGATATTAAGATTACACTATTTTGAAATTTAATTGTTTGCTTGCCCTCTGAATTAATGATTATATATCAAACGAATATAATTACAATATTTTTTTTGTTTTGCAAATTCGCACAACTTGATATTGATCAAACTTGTTTTTTTTTATTATTGACCACAAGGTCCCTGAAAATATACGATTTTAAATGTTGTATCGTTGTTTTATTTTCGTACGTTTGTTTTTAAATATAATTATTTAATGCTGACAACACTTTGTCTATTTTGTAGACGTTATCTAGACTTCTAACACTTTCCTACATTTTATATTGATCTAGAATTTTTTTTTGGATACCCGCATCATATGAAATTGAAATCCTTATAACTAATTTCTCTGTCCGTGGTTCACATCCTTTTTTCCCAAACGTATTAGATGAATAAAGTTGAAATTTGGAACATATACATACAAATTACTTTTATGTAAGTAAAAAAATTCTTGGCTTATCACATCTCAAACTATTGGGCGAAATCTTTAATAAAGAAAAATAATAATTGCTAATAAGTATCCATAATGTTTAGGAAAAACAACGCCTTTAAATACTCCACATAAAGTGTGGACCTCGTAAGTGATTAAACATATATAGATAAAATAGTTTTACAAAAAGTAGGTCATTTGCTAAAATTTATTAACTAAGCAAGAAAAAGTACTTTTAAAGTAACAAAAAAAATGAAGTATTTAATACAATTTTGCAGGAATTTGAATAATACCGTTGGACTAAATATGTACGTTCTTACTTCTTGAGGCTTATTTAGAGATTAAGAATATTTTTAAGCAAAATGGTTGAACATGAACAGTAACATAATATACATAAGCTTCTGATCCATGACCGAATTAACGAAAATATCGACACGAAATATAGTCATCGACCAAGTCTATAGAAACCTTACAAGTCATATTTGTAGGAGCTGACAGTGTCGTGTCGCTCCATGTAAATTAAAAGCTAGTGTATGAAATATAATATTATTAAATGTTTGAATTTGCTATATATTTATATAGTAACTAGTTGACCCGATAGACGTTTTGTTCCGATTTTATTTATTTATGATCTTTGAGGTCATACAATTATTTATACTAAAATTGTATAGAAAAAAACTAAATCTCGATTTTCCCGGCAACTTTTCTAATTGTTTTTCCATAAAACCTTAT